AACCCATTTTAATCTTCATTGACTTGAACAAAAACTTTTTTATATTACTCTTCTCTCAACATATGAATTGTTAAATGAAATAATGACCAATATATGAGTAAAAATGAAGATAGTAGACAAGTATGTTTTGACTTTTTACACACACTAATTATAACAATAAACTTCATCATTATCCTGTTCAATTTCACATTATAGTTACCATGGCAATATATATTCATTGTAACAGCATTGACATTTTTGTCCACAAAGAACATTTCAGGAATATTTTTGGAAAAACCCCTTGTTAATTATAGTAGTGAAATAGGAAAATTTTGCCTGTGTACACAAGACAGTTCTTTTGAAAAAGGCAAAAAAAAATAGTTTTTTTGAAAGTTGTCTGTTTGGTGTTACAAAAAGGGCGTGTACACGCCTCGGCGTGTACATAAAGAACAATCATATAATTATATAAGCATAGTAAGCTAAAGAACTTAAACCCAACAATAGTCATACCTTCATCAGGATTGGTAAGTTGGCTGTTTCCTCCAGTAAGCAACAAAGCCCAATGGAACCACACAAAAAAGAAGCTTGCTCCAAACAAAGAGTTTCTTAAACTGGCCATTTCAGAGATGTCCAACTCTTCCAAATCTTCAAACTCAAAGTCTTACTGAATCATTGGCACCATGAAACTAAGAAATATTTGGGATTTAGATAGTCAACCTCTCATATACTGTGTATTAAGAAAAGTATGAAGGAAATAGGAAGGGAAAAACATTACTTATCAACAAGGGTGGAGCCAGGACTTAGTCGTAGGGGGGCCAAGAAGGAACACAAATAATAAAGAGAAAGTTCACTAAATAGGATTAAAACAAAATAAAGCACATAAAAGTATTATCGTTGTTTTATTCTCAGAATATGACTTATTCACTGCTATTTTGACAAAATTTAATCAAATTATTTTTAATAGGACTAAGTAAGATCTATTTGAGAAATAAAACTTATTTTTTGATATTTTTAATCATATATATGAAATTATTTCATGAGGTGCTTCCGGGTTAATTTTTTTGCTGAAATTTTTTGATAATGGTTTTCATGATGTGTAGATGATTTACACCTAATTTTAGTTTAAAATTCAATAGGGAAATCAATTAAACAAATTATTGAAAAACACTGCGCCAAAATATATATAAAAACGTGTTTTTTCATAATTTATTTAGTTGACTTACTGATTGAATTTCAAGCTGAAATTTGGGGTACATATCTACACTTCATGAAAAACATGGTTACAAAATTTCATCAAAATTGTTTACTCAAAAGCATCTCAAATAGAGGCTTCTATCAGGTAGTTCTGGCCCATTTTTTCCTGATTATTTCATATCTAATGCTAGTACTACTAAAAAGAAAAGTTTGGAGGGCCAAGGCCCTCTACCCCTATACCTACCTCTGTCGCTGCTAATCAACGGAAAAACAAAAAAAAACTGGTTAAGAACCAGCAGTTTACTATAGCGGTTTGGTTTTCCAAATTTTGGAACCAGAACTACCTGTTTTATACTCCGTATATACTATATAATAAAAATAAATAAAAATATTGCTACTTGTAATACTAGTAGTACTAGTAGTAGTAATAATAATAATAATAATAATAATAATAATAATAATAATAATAATAATAATAATAATAATAATAATAATAATAATAATAATAATAATAATAATAATAATAATAATAATAATAATAATAATAATAATAATAATAATAATAATAATAATAATAATAATAATAATAATAATAATAATAATAATAATAATAATAATAATAATAATAATAATAATAATAATAATAATAATAATAATAATAATAATAATAATAATAATAATAATAATAATAATAATAATAATAATAATAATAATAATAATAATAATAATAATAATAATAATAATAATAATAATAATAATAATAATAATAATAATAATAATAATAATAATAATAATAATAATAATAATAATAATAATAATAATAATAATAATAATAATAATAATAATAATAATAATAATAATAATAATAATAATAATAATAATAATAATAATAATAATAATAATAATAATAATAATAATAATAATAATAATAATAATAATAATAATAATAATAATAATAATAATAATAATAATAATAATAATAATAATAATAATAATAATAATAATAATAATAATAATAATAATAATAATAATAATAATAATAATAATAATAATAATAATAATAATAATAATAATAATAATAATAATAATAATAATAATAATAATAATAATAATAATAATAATAATAATAATAATAATAATAATAATAATAATAATAATAATAATAATAATAATAATAATAATAATAATAATAATAATAATAATAATAATAATAATAATAATAATAATAATAATAATAATAATAATAATAATAATAATAATAATAATAATAATAATAATAATAATAATAATAATAATAATAATAATAATAATAATAATAATAATAATAATAATAATAATAATAATAATAATAATAATAATAATAATAATAATAATAATAATAATAATAATAATAATAATAATAATAATAATAATAATAATAATAATAATAATAATAATAATAATAATAATAATAATAATAATAATAATAATAATAATAATAATAATAATAATAATAATAATAATAATAATAATAATAATAATAATAATAATAATAATAATAATAATAATAATAATAATAATAATAATAATAATAATAATAATAATAATAATAATAATAATAATAATAATAATAATAATAATAATAATAATAATAATAATAATAATAATAATAATAATAATAATAATAATAATAATAATAATAATAATAATAATAATAATAATAATAATAATAATAATAATAATAATAATAATAATAATAATAATAATAATAATAATAATAATAATAATAATAATAATAATAATAATAATAATAATAATAATAATAATAATAATAATAATAATAATAATAATAATAATAATAATAATAATAATAATAATAATAATAATAATAATAATAATAATAATAATAATATTAGAGTAGTGGTACCAAAAAACAAAGATAATTATATCCAATGTACTAATTTGTTTTTAATTTAAACAATTACTACTGTTCTTCTTATATACTCCGTAATTATTTGAAATATTTTCCTAAACTTTACACTCTCAATTTTAAGTTGTAAATTCTAAGAACAATAATTCATAATAGTAAAAAAACACTTCTTTATTATTTTGGGAACCCTTTAATTTAAATAATCTTATTAGTTATTCATTACTTACTCCATTTTCAAAACAAAGTTAACTAAATTATTAAATCTAAAAAAACTTTAAACCAGAAAACCCAGACAGTCCACTTTTTATTAGATTCCTACAACTCTTTCAAAGTAAAGTAAAATATCTAGAAGTATTATATTGAAAAGTCCATCAATCTAACTACCAGTATACGAATATACGAAAGAGTCTTGCGTTTGAAAAAGTTGTAGCATGCCTCCTTTTCAGTTGACTTGGTGTGATTATTATTCTCTACCCCATTAAACATTTGGAGGCAGATTTGTCTTACAAGTTACAACTTTCCAGGACAGGGCATTGTACTCTGATTCTATTACATTACATCTCTCCTTCTTAGCACCTATCCAAGCTCAATTTTCTTATATTTTTTCAATCTTGGACAATTAAGCATATTAGCAGCCCATTAATCTAGTACAGTTCCCAGTAAAGCTAAGAAGGAAAAAAAACATAAAAAATCAATTCAGCAACTTACAGATGAGTATAGAACAGGGATGGTGGCACAAAGAGTAGCCCGGCAGAATAAGGCGATGGGTCCAAGGAAGCAGAAAGATGTGGTTTGGCATAAAGTGAAATTTGTAATGTGGGAAAGATGGGTAGTTAGATATCAAATTAGTCATTATTGTTGCAATCGATAGAGATAAACTCAAATTGGAAAAAGCTGCTTTCCGAACGGTTGTCAGTTGAGCGGTGTAAATAGAAATGGTCGGATGAAGTGACATGGGTTGTTCTTTGTGTACAAGTCATTTTTAAAGTGAGACAAACAATTTTATACACCTTCTTTTTAAGGTTTTAGAGAGCAAGGATACTAATCAAATAGTAACTTATATTCAATTTTTAAACTGAAGTTGTAATGACACTATATTATAGTAGTAACTTTTAATCATATTTATTTAAATAAGTTTTATTTTAGTAATATTTTCAAAAAAAAATTAATAAATTGGTTGTTTACATAGACAACCAGATGTGAGTATTAGTGCAAAAATTAGATCAGGCCGGAATCGATTTTGTAATACCGTCCCCAAATGTATTTACTTTCAAGTAAATGATGTAATAAACCTTATGGAATGATTTACGAATTTAATAAGTTGTAAATTTTTATTAATTCTTTCGCGTGAATAGTAAATTGCATGTGGGGCCCACACCGGGAGCGGGGGCCACCCGATTTTCCCGAGACCATATATTTTATTCATCTTGGTCTAGATAATAAATATATAGTGGTGGATATTTCATTTGGGTCCTGGAAAGGCCCAGAGTTGACCGATTGGTCAAAAGAGGCCCAAATTACCGGTACTGGTAATTTAACAGATAACAACCCGAACTAAATTTCGGAGGCTTATAAATTAAAGATGAGGAATGTATATTCATTATAAATGTCTTAATGATTAAGAGCACATAATATATTTTATTTGACCCGATAAAATAAAATATATTTAAAACAGTCCAAAAAATACAACTTTCGGGGCCGATTGTACACATCGGGACATAATGGGATGACCTCCCACAAGGGTGGGGGCCACCCCACGTTTTTGTGTGCTCAAAATAAACAAGGAGGTGGCTGAGTTGACAAAAGAAGGAATGGAGGAGGTGCTTTTGGCATCTAAAGTACATGGAGGACCCCCCTCCCTCACTCATTTGTCAATTAAGACAAAAGTGAGACATCCCCTCTCCCTCCAACCATTGAGCTCGACCAAACCATCCAAGGGAGAGAGAAGGAGCTTCAAACTCACCTCCATTTCTGCAAATTTGAGCTCAAGCTTTAGTGCTCAAAGGAAGAAGATTAAAGAGGGAAGAAGTTGGGAAAAGTGTGAACAATTAAGGTAATGACCTTATATTAACTTTTCCTTTATTTTTCTTCCACCATATGAAGTATATATCATATGAAGAACCTTTAATATGGTTCCATATGTTATAAGTATGGATTCATGGGTTGGAAGGTGGTTCTACGTCCAAAAACGGACTTAGAAGCCAAAACGACCGGTTCACCGGAAAATAACCTTTTAGAGGTTATTTGTATTAATATGAGTTTTATGATTATAAAACCTTGTTAGGCACTTGTAAGGGGTATTTCAAGTGATTTCACAAAGTTGGAAAAGTCGCCGGAGTTGTCGCCGGAGTTGACCAAAAGTCGCCGGAGTTTCACCGGAGTTCAACCAAGAAGGGTAGAACTTCTTAACGCTAGTTCAAGGTGAGTGGACGGCTTAATATATTATAACTTTTGGGTTAATTATGAGATTACCTAAATAAATGTTATATGAGTTCATAATGATGTTTAAAAGATATTCAAACATGTGATTAGCCAATAGGGTTAAGTTTGTATGAAAGAAATTAATTGTTGATGCATGGAATATGATATGAAGAATTATATGAAATGCATATTTGCTTGAAGTGTATTAGAAGCACAAATGAATATTATTAACTTAATTATATGATGATTAAGTTGATACACACAAGGCATGAAATGGCGGTCAACGAAAACGTGGACCGACGGACAAAGGATTTAATTAATACCGGTTGGTATTAATTATAAATCTATATAAATGCATGGTTTTGCATGGATTGTGATACATAAGATTTATGTATTGGATTAGTTATGAGTAACTAAGTATGATGTAGACTCTATCTAGGTTGATAGGAGGTTGATCATAGGAAAACTTGGTGGAGGACCCTAGTACTTAAAAAAGTACTTAACACTCAAAACTTGGTGGAGGACCCTAGGACTTAAAGTCCTTAACACTCAAACTTGGTGGAGGACCCTAGTACTTAAAAGTACTTAACACTCAAAACTTGGTGGAGGACCCTAGGACTTAAAGTCCTTAACACTCAAACTTGGTGGAGGACCCTAGTACTTAAAAGTACTTAACACTCAAAACTTGGTGGAGGACCCTAGTACTTAAAAGTACTTAACACTCAAACTTGGTGGAGGAGCCTAGTACTTAAAAGTACTTAACACTCAAAACTTGGTGGAGGACCCTAGGACTTATGAGTCCTTAACACTCACAAACCGGTGGAGTATCCAAGGATTATGATCCTAAAACTCATAGATTATGATATACAAATAGGGACAAGGAGGAGTCCTATACACTCATAGGTATATGGGTGGGTTGGGGTTTTTAGTCAAGAATATTGACTATTACTATTTTTCCCAAATAAAATGGTGATCTACGGATCGGATATTTTCCAAGTATATATATACTAATAAGTATTTCATAACTTGGGGGAAAGACTATTTATTTAAGTATCACCCTAGGTTTGGGTCTTATACTTGAAACGCTAGTTATTCTATATTTAGCCTGCTACTCGCTCGGTACTTGTACTGACCCCTTCGGGGCCCCCCACCATTTTCAGGTTGAAGCTAGGGCTTGCTACTTGCACCTTCTCACGGGTGGTATCATATCGGGAAGACGTGGTTCGTGCTTCCTTGTTTTCTTTCAAACTACCGAACACTTGCTCATGGATATTTGTTTTACTATAAACATTTTTTTGGGCTTGCATGCCCATGTTGTTGGCCGGTTGTGGCTCATGACTTACCGTTGAATATTTCTGCTATTCATTGGTTTAAATGTGATGTTGTTATGTATGTTTACTACTGAGTATAGATGGATTGTTTTCTCGAACGCCTTGTGTAATTAAGTGAGGTTGACTCGTGGGTGACGTCACTTAGTTATACGGCGGTTGTACACGCGCTTGGATTGCGGTCTGGGGCGTGACAATTAAGTGGTATCAGAGCCATCTCAGTTCTAAACTATATAATCAACCTCTCACATAAGATTTTACAAAAGAGTTTTTATCGAAAACCATGAGCATTGTATTTTGACGTTTATGGGACTATTGGAGCTTAAGTTGCAAGGCCTCTAATTGTTAAGACGGTACCCTTAACAATTGGTATGGTAGTGACTTGGGCCAATACGTGTCTGTAACGTTCTTCCGTCAATTGACATTTATAGGAGTCTAATGACTCATCCATATTTCTTTCAGAAATGGAGGGCAGGCGAATGGCAACCAGGAACAATCCGAGGGGGCAGGCGCCAGTAGCATCCCAAAGGGGAAGCCGGGCTGCATCTCGGGGTTCAAGAGGAGGCCGTGGAAGCCGTGGAGGTCATCAAGCTCAAACTGTGAGTGATGGCCATGTAAGCTCGGTGTATGAAACCAACACCGAGGACTATGACTCAACCTACGTTCCAGAAACGGAGCATGAGGAGACCCCGTATGATGGGGGGGACACATACACCGATGATGACGATGAGAGTGATGCCCGATTCGCCCAAATGGGTGAATTACTTGAGTGGTATCAAAAGGAGAAACTGAGAAGAGACCTTAGGCGCCAAGCGAGGCGTGGCTCTCGTGGTGGTTCGGGTCAAGGAAGCCGGGGAGTTTCCGTGGCCACCCCAGCGGCGTCACAAGGTGGGCGTGAAGGAGGTTTTGTTGTGAGAATCTCCAAGTACCTCAATGAGGCTAGGGCATTGGGGTGTAAATCCTTTGACGGCACCAGTGACATTACCGTTGCCGCCGATTGGATTAAGAAGGTGAAGGATGCATCAAGAGACATGCAAATCACACCGGACGTGAAGTTGACTGTCGCTTCACGGCTACTTGAAGGGATAGCTTCTACGTGGTGGGAGAGCGTGGAAGGGAAGTACCATGGGGAAATAACATGGGCGGATTTTGAGCTAGAATTCTATGTTCAATACTACTCCGAATACGAGGTGAATGTGAAACGGAGAGAGTACACTAACCTCAAACAGAAAGATGGCGGCACAGTTAAGCAGCTGGAACAAGAGTTTAGAACCTTGGCTAGGTTCTTGCCAGAGTACGCGGTTGATGAGAACCGCATGACGGAGCACTTTTGGGATGCCTTACTCTTGGACATCCGTGATCGGGCTACGTACTCGCGCCACATGACCTTTAGCGAGGTGGTGGAGCAGGGCCTTCTTGGGGAGGCCCAATGGAATGAAAGAAAAGTGAGAGACGCCGAAGAGGCGAAAAAGAGGAAATGGCATGGTTCGGGGCCGCCCGAGCAAGCACGGAAAGATAAACACGGTGGGGGTGGTGGTTCGTTCAAGACACCGGCACCACCGGCAAAGAAGAACAGGGATGCTCGGTGGCATGCATCCTCCTCCCAAAGGACGGGGCCTCCAAAGTGTGCTGATTGCTCGAAAAATCATTTTGGGAAGTGCAATGCACCCCCTACGTGTTATCAATGTGGAAACACGGGCCACATGAAGGCCAATTGCCCATAACTAGGGGGAGGAGGAGCTCCGGGAACCGGAGGAGGGACTACGACGGGGAGGAACCATGCGGGACCGTCAAAAGGCGGCACGGGAAGAGGTGGCGCTTCAACAAGCCATGCCGCGTCCGTAAATCAAGGCGGGGCCCAAGCAAGGGTCTACGCGATGACCGAGGCGGATGCGCGAGCAAACCCGGACTCCGTTGCAGGTAATACAATTATTTCCATGTATTTCAAGGCTTATTTTGATCATATAAGTCAATGGGATTGAGTGCGGGCCACCTCGGGACCAAACCGGGTGAATTTAGACCGAAACGGGCTAAAAACAGCCACTGGTGGCCGGGCACGCTTGCAGGCACGCCGTGCGTGCTGCACAGGCACGCCGTGCCTGGCCTGGGGGAGCATCGTGTCTAGGAGGCAGTAGCGCTCCAGAATTTTAGCCGGACGCACGGCCGTGAGTACCAACAGGCACGCCGTGCGTGGACAAGCAGGCACGCCGTGCGTGACCTGCAGGCACGCCGTGCCTGGCCGGCAGTAGCGAGCAGGGAGAGTTCGATGCACGCACCGCCGTGCGTACCCCCTACGCACGCCGTGCGTGGACCCCCAACACCCGAAAATTTATTTTTTCGCCCCGTTCTTCTACGTTTGGACCCCCGTTTGTTTCCAAACATTAGTATGAACCTAATAACATCCTAATGATGTGTAAAAACATTAGAAAATGTATCTTACATGGTGTATAAATGTAGGAACATTAAAGATCAATGGTAGGTGTGCGAGGATCCTCATCGATACCGGGGCACAACGCTCATTTGTGAGTGAGGCGTTCGCCGAGGGCCTTGACGTGCCATTGACACCTATGACGCAAACGTTGCTAGTCTCCACACCGTTAGGAGACGATGTGGAGAGAAATCATTACTATCCATCATGCGAGGTGGAAGTGATGGGTCAACCCTTGACTTGTGATTTCGTACCTCTAAGCATGTTGGAGTTCGATGCAATCCTAGGAATGGATTGGCTTGAGAAGCACCATGCTCGAGTAGATTGCTACACCAAGGTGTTGGAGCTCGAGGATGATCAAGGAAACACGCTATGTTTCGAAGGAGACCGGGGAAAATCTAATGTTTGTATCATATCCGTGATGAGAGCACGGAAGATGATGAGGAAGGGGTGTCACGCATACCTTGCCTATGTGGTGGATGATACGAAGAAGGAAGTCGACATCAAAGATGTACGAGTCGTGTGCAAGTACCCGGATGTCTTTCCTAAGGACCTACCGGGGCTTCCACCCGATAGAGAGATCGAATTTGTAATTGAAGTGGAGCCGGGAACCAAACCCATTTCGATTCCCCCTTATCGAATGGCACCGGCCGAACTTCAAGAGTTGAAGGTCCAATTACAAGAATTATTGGACAACAGATTCATCAGACCCAGTCATTCACCGTGGGGGGGCACCCGTACTCTTCGTGAAGAAGAAGGATGGTACACTAAGAATGTGTATTGACTACCGACAGTTGAACAAGGTCACAATCAAGAAAAGGTATCCCTTACCGAGGATTGATGACTTGTTTGATCAACTTCGGGGGGCAATAGTGTTCTCGAAGATTGATTTGAGGTCGGGGTATCATCAGTTGAAGATCAAGGAGAGCGACATACCTAAGAGTGCATTCCGCAGTAGGTATGGTCATTACGAGTTCCTTGTGATGTCATTTGGTTTAACCAACGCACCGGCGGCATTCATGGACTTGATGAACCGGGTGTTTAGTGAATACTTAGATCAATTTGTGATAGTATTCATTGATGATATCTTGATATACTCCAAGAGTGAGGAGGAGCACGAACATCATTTGGGGCTTATACTTGATCGGCTAAGGGAAAAGCAACTCTTTGCCAAGTTCTCTAAATGCGAATTTTGGCTCAAGGAGATTGGTTTTCTCGGTCACGTCATATCCGGTTCGGGCGTAGCTGTGGATAACGCCAAGATAAAAGCTATCATGGATTGGGAGAGACCCAAGAATGTGAAAGAGATACGTAGTTTCCTTGGCTTAGCGGGATACTATCGTAAATTTGTTGAAAAATTCTCCGTATTGGCGTCTCTATTGACGAAGCTCACAAAGAAAGGGGCCAAGTTCATATGGGACGACAAGTGTGAGAAAGGGTTCCTTGAACTGAAGAAACGACTCACCGAAGCACCAGTCCTTGCTCTACCCATACAAGGGATAAGGTATGATATCTACAGTGATGCTAGCATCCAAGGGCTTGGATGTGTACTCATGCAAAACTACAGTGATGCTAGCATCCAAGGGCTTGGATGTGTACTCATGCAAAACGGTAAAGTGATTGCCTATGCTTCTAGGCAATTGAGGAAACACGAGGTGAACTACCCTACCCACGATCTAGAGCTGGGGGCGGTTGTGTTTGCATTGAAGATTTGGAGGCATTATCTCTACGGGGAGACGTGTCACATTTACACTGATCATAAGAGCTTGAAGTACGTATTCACTCAGAAAGAGTTGAATATGAGACAGAGGAGATGGATGGAGTTGATCAAGGACTATGACTTGATCATCGACTATCATCCCGGAAAGGCCAATGTAGTGGCCGACGCACTGAGCAGGAAGAGTACGTCAGGGACGCTACTCACAAGTCTACAGGCATTGAGGGCACGCGTGGAGGTGTCCACGTGTGGGGCTCTCATTGCTCGATTCGAGGTTAGGCCCACCCTATTGGGCGAGATTAGTCGAAGTCATGCCATGGATGAGGAATGTCAGAAGATCCGTGAAAGGATCCTTGCGGGGCCCGTTGAGAACTTCCGAGTACGTGATGACGGTCTATTATTGTTTAAGGATCGTGTGTGCATACCAAAGAATGAAGAACTCCAGAAGTCTATACTCGAGGAGGCTCATTCTTCAGCTTATGCTATGCATCCAGGAGGTACTAAGATGTACCGAGATTTGAAGGAAAGTTACTGGTGGTCAGGTATGAAGAGAGACATCGCCGAGTATGTGAGTCGATGCCTTACTTGTCAACAAGTTAAGGCAGAACATCAGCACCCGGCAGGGCTTTTGCAGCCACTCACCATCCCAGAGTGGAAGTGGGAGCACGTGACCATGGACTTCGTGGTGGGGCTGCCACGAACAGTGAACAACTATGACGCAGTATGGGTAGTGGTTGATAGGCTCACCAAGAGTGCTCACTTTTTGCCTATCAACATTACTTATCCTCTTGAAAGATTGGCCAAGCTCTACACGGAGGAAATTTTGAGATTACATGGAGTCCCGATATCCATTGTCTCGGATAGGGATCCACGATTCACATCCCGATTTTGGCCAAAGTTTCAAGCATCGTTGGGTACTAAACTGAAGTTTAGCACAGCTTTTCACCCACAGACGGATGGACAGTCCGAACGGGTGATACAGATCTTGGAAGACATGCTTAGGGCATGTGCGCTGGAGTTCCAAGGAAGTTGGGACAAGCATTTGGCCCTAGTGGAGTTTGCTTATAACAACAGTTATCAAGCAAGCATCGGCATGTCTCCATATGAGGCATTGTATGGGAGAAAATGCAGAACACCATTGTGTTGGGACGAAGTTGGCGAGGCCAAACTCGAAGGGATAGAACTGGTTGAGATCACCAAGGCTAAGGTGAGGATCATTCAGGATAGACTGAGGGCTGCTCAGGACCGACAGAAGAGTTATGCTGACAAACGGCGGAGACCGTTGGAGTTCGAGGTCGGTGATGAGGTTTTTCTAAGGATTTCTCCTTGGAAGGGCATCATCCGATTTGTATCGAGGGGGAAGCTTAATCCCCGATACATTGGTCCATTTGAAATCCTTGAAAGGATTGGAGCCGTGGCTTATTGTCTCAAATTGACACCAGAACTCGAGATGATACATGATGTGTTTCATGTATCAATGCTCAAGAAGTACATACGAGACCCATCTCATATTTTTGAGAAACCGCCGGTAGAGATCCGTGAGGATTTGCAATATGCGGTAGAGCCGGTGAAGATAGTAGGTCAACAAGTGAAGAAGCTTAGGAATAAGGAGATTCCTATGGTAAAAGTTCTTTGGAGGAGTGATCGA